GAATACATGATGCGGATCCAATATATGTTGACTGACTACTGGCAGTGTGGCTTCTATGTTTTAAATTAATAAAACAAATGTATTTATTTGTTGAGACAAACCATTTTGATGAATACATTCCTAAAGTGTAGTGCATGTATCTCTACATTTAAACAAGGGTAATGAAAATTACCTTTGAAAATATTCTCTATTCTCTCAGATTCAAAAAACTCAAATTTACCTACCATGTATATCCATATGATTCAAGATGTCTCTACAGTCTTGATCTCTCTTTTAACTCCAGGTTTATATTTCTAAACCTTAACAGGGTATCTTTATCAGAATATCTCTATTTTCCGTCACCTCAATTCAACATGGACAAAGCTGACCTCATTATCTTTGCTCACAAACAAAGCCCAGTTTTTCTTTCTCTAGTTTTCATTATCCATAGCCTAATCCATAACCTTATAGTAATTCTTAAAGTCTTCTACCCTATCCGTTACATCCAATCAGTAACCTAGTCCTATTGATACCACTTTCTGAATATGGCTTATATTTTTCCTTAATTCTACTGTTTTAGTTAATCTGTTATCACTGAAATAATCATAATACCCCCCAACTAGGTTCTTCACCTCTATTATTTTCCTCCTTTCACACCATCACTAGACAAAGCATGCTGTGTGTGTTTTTTCCAGTGGATTTAAAAAAATGATACATTAAAAAAGTGTTCTGGATACAAGTTTTTGCACCTTCTCAAATAGCAGCAACAACTTGCTTCCAAATATGTTTGTCTACCTCTTGGACTATACAGCTACCTCATTTGTAGAGTTCATTCATCTAGCTAGAAACCAGCGTAAAGCCCAAGACTATCATATCTCATACTCCAAGACTAAATGCAGTAAGCCATTCCTTCATACCTGGACATGAATAAAATGCCTCACCATGCTGCATGATCTGACTTCCTGTATGGCCTCTGAGTGACTGCATAATGCAACCTGGAATTATTGGGTCCCCATGAGGTAAACTTGACCAATAAATGTGTCAGGCAAGTAAACCCCTTTACCTTTATGCTCTCTGCTAAAAAGTAGGTTCCAGCCCTGGCCGGTTTTGCTCAGTGGATAGAGCGTCGGCCTGTGAACCAAAGGGTCCCGGGTTCGATTCCAGTCAAGGGCACATGCCCGGGTTGTGGGCTCGATCCCCAGTGGGAAACTTGCAGGGGGCAGCCAATCCATGATTCTCTCTCATCATGGATCTTTCTATCTCTCTCTCTCTCGCTTCCTTCCTCTCTGAAATCAATAAAAATATAAAAATATTTAAAAAGCAGGTTTCATTTTTTTCTAGCTTCCTAAAAATACCCAGCAACAGTAGTGTCAAACAAACCTGCTGAGAACAACTTACTGTCTCTTCAAAGCACCAGCCCCATGATGAAGCAGAAATCAGCTCAGTAATTCCCTGCCTCACACTTTTCTTTGTTCACTCCCCCCCTGTGTGTGTGTGTGTGTGTGTGTGTGTGTTAATCATCACCCAAGAATATTTTCCATTGATTTTTAGATAGAGTGGAAGGGAGAGGGAGAGACAGAGAAACATTGATGTGAGAGAAACACATTGATTGGTTGCCTTCTGCATGCACCCGGACCAGGGCCAGGGAACTTGCAACCAAGGTACATGCCTTTGACCGGAATTGAACCTGGGACCCTTCAGTCCACAGTCCAACGCTCTATCCACTGAGCAAAACCGGCTAGGGCTCCCCATTTATTCTTTACCCTCAAATCCCTTGTCTTTCCACCCCAAGTACAGTGTCAACACATTAGTCTATCCTAGGGCTCTGAACTAAGGGAACCAAGGCTAAGACAAATAATGAAAATCAAACAGTGCAAGGAGTAGACCAGTGATGGCGAACCTATGACACGCGTGTCAGAGGTGACACGCGAACTCATTTTTTTGGTTGATTTTTCTTTGTTAAATGGCATTTAAATATATAAAATAAATATCAAAAATATAAGTCTTTGTTTTACTATGGTTGCAAATATCAAAAAATTTCTATATGTGACATGGCACCAGAGTTAAGTTAGGGTTTTTCAAAATGCTGACACGCCGAGCTCAAAAGGTTCGCCATCAATGGAGTAGACAATAAAAAGCAAGTTTGCCCCATCAAAACAAAACTCGTGTTCCAGATCCCCATTTTCCTGCCCCAGAGGCATCCACTATTACCAGTTTTGTGTGTCCTTCCAAAGATAGTCTATGCATATAAGCACCTGCATGTACGGTATATTACCTACATACAAATATATGAATATTCTCCTTTTTACATAAGCAAAAACAGAATATGCCCATTGCACCTTGCATTTTCACAGAGTGAACTTTCCAAAACAAATCCTATCATGGCACTCTCAAACTTAAAAAACATCTGATGATGCCTTCTCATTTCTCCCAAATAAAATTCCAATTTCTAATATCGCAGACCTTTTATACTCTGGCCCCAAGCTATGACTATCACCATTCCCATCTAGCCCCCTGAAATAATGTGCCCTTTATTTAGCCACACTCAGTGATTTTCTGTTTCCCATACAACCAGTGCTCTCATATATACATACATTTATGCATGCTGGTCTATATACACAAAATATTCTTTCAATATGTATGTGTTCAATGATTAAATGAATCATCAAATCATTGCAGTCAACTAATGACTACAGTTAGATATTCTCTTTAAATTTTAGGTCTTTTTTCCTCTTCTGTGTAGTTAACTCAATTTTTAAAGCTGTGAACATATGTTTTAAACAGCATCTGCTAATATCTCTAAAATGGCTGTACATTCTAAGGCAAGGTAGGCATAATGTTTTCAGAAGAAACCAAGTAGCCAAGCTAAGTAAAATTATAACTTTAATTTTTATACACTCTTAGTTGTCTAAGAGTATAAAACAGCTGTTTTTTTCATTACTTGCTGTTTTCAGGTGATTCATTTAATTCTGGCTTTCAGTTGTGCCCCAGGTGATTTTTTTTGCTGGAAATATAATAGGTGGATAAGTGAAGTGTAACTTTTCCTCACATTTTTCAAAATCCTAATACAGAGCACAGATGCACAGGAGAAAGAAAAGAAAGGGGCATTCACCCAAATTGCCTTTTCTCCTCCCTGCATGTGGAAATACCATTCTGCATTCAAAAACCTACACACGCATTAACACCCTCAGTATTCTATATGCAAAACTGTAGTCAGATATTCCCAACTGCTTACTAGAATTGAAGGAAAGATGATCTGTTATTTATACAAAATTATTAAAAGAAAATGAAGTTTTCAGTTAGAGTTTTTGGGTTAAGGCTTTGAGATTTTTGAAAGGAAGAAGTTATATATGCATGAAATATTGATTTATCCTTCTTGATTCAGGTCTCTCAGAATACTAACATCATGTAATGCATCTCCATTTGTTCATAATGCATTAAAGGGCATCCTAAATTTTCCTCTCATACCTGAAGGCATTTTGAAATGAAAGCTTCTTTAAATAATATGCCCTTCTTAGAAAACAGCTTCTTGTTCACTTTTCTATACCACTGTTTTTCACATTGTGATTGGTTGAAGATCTATAAAGGTTTCTCTGCATCTCCTTAGAGCCATAATGGATTGTGCACATGCAGTGAAGCTTTTGTGGAAACTGGTTCTTAAAAGACTGTCATGCCTATCCTCATCCTTGAAGAGGGAGAACACAATAACAGTTACTAATTTAAACTGAAATGTCAATGTCCTTTGAAGTTGCAATTTTAAGTTAGTTGCATTATATATGAATGAAACAAGCAAGATAAGTGAGACACTTAGAGTTTATTAAATAAATTTTATTTTGGGTAATGAGATAGCAGAGCAAATTCCTATGAAGGGGATATAGTGGGTCAATTCTACTCATGTAATATTGCAGTGACCAATCTTTGTGGTTTTAAAAGGTGCTAAACATATTTAGGCCCATTTGCCCATAGGCTAGCTTATCATGCCCTTATAGGCCTTAAATATATTTATTATGTTTTGATTTAAAGTTATTTTTTATCTCACTATAAGTTCCCGTGGAATGTTTTGTGTATAAAGTGCTTCATTTCCAGGGGGTATGTGTAAAATTGTATTGACTCATTATTTAAGTACAACTTGGCATTTTTTAATGGCAGATGAGGAAGAAAATAGAGAAATGAAAGATGAAAAGGTGACATGTTTAGAGTAACAATTAGATATAATTTAGGGTTCTCAAAACAGGCTTTAGAGTCTTGAGGTAAATACACATATATTTGTGACCATAAGAAAAATCATAGTAAAACCAACTCATACTTTTCTGAGAGAAGTAGGTGTGGTAACTAGGCCTTAGATTATAGAAGAGATGGTGACTAATAGTTACAGGAATAGAGAAGGTAATTAATCCCCAGCATTCACATTTTTATGTTTTTCCCCATGGCAACATTTAGGGGGTTAAGAAAAAAGCTGAAACTAAGGGGGGAAATCTATCAGAAAAAAATGAAAGGAAACTTAGAAGCAGGAATAAAAAAGAAGCAATTAAATGAAAAGATTTGAAGTACTGACAAAGTTAGATTCATTAAAAATAGCTGACTTCAGGTGCCACCTAATTCTCTATATTTTAATACATATTCCACCAGAAACATCTTTTGCAACTAGGAAAATTGATATGAAGGTATTCTCTCCAAATTTCTTATGTTAACAGCATAATAACCAATTTTTGGCTATAATGAATCCTAATGATAATAATAGATGGTTATCATTGATGAAATGCGTATTATGGTGTATCAGTAGCTACATGAAGCATTTTTATACTCAATATCTCATTAAATCCTTCCAACCTTTCTATGAGGTCAATACAGTGAATGGTCAATAGTTCACAGATGCAGAAATAGGCTCAGAAAGAAGTAATTTGCCTAAGATCACAGAGGTAATAAGTGATACAGATGGAATTTAAATCTGTATCTTGTGGCATGACTCCAAAAAGTGTTCATTGACCACTTTAGTCAGTTTTGGAACACTTTTTTTTTCCCCTGTCAGGCCGTCAACCATCCAGGTGCCCAAGGCCAGGACGCTGGGCGTAGGCGAGCCTCTCTGCTCTCTGCCACCTAATGACGCAGGCACGACACGGCAGTTTTGGAACACTTTTATATTGAATCTGGTGTCTTCAGTCATTTACTATTGGGTTAGGGGAGAAGCAAATGAAATCAGGGGTGAATGTTGTTTCTTTCATGGTAATCTGATTGATTTATTCCACATTTATGGAGCTTCCATTTATCAAGAGGAAGCATTAGAAATTATATGCCAAAGCATGAGAAATACAAAGATGAATAAGATACAATATGAGTGAGCAAGTAAACATAGGATCATGATTCAGAATGGTAGGAGAAATGAGATATAAGCATAGGTTTTGGTGGGGGCAAATAGGAGAGATAGCAAACCAAGTTTGGTGGTTTCAGAGATGATATCTCAGAAGTCCCAGTGAGACTTGTAGATGAAAAGAGGTAGGTAAGCAAAGACAGGTGAGGATAGCAGACAAACTGGCCTTGCAGGCAGAGGGAGCATCATGTATAAATACTTGGAGAAGAAAAATAATATGGTACATTTGAGGAACTGCAAGTAGTTAAGTAAAGCTATAACAACAGCACTGTTCAGTTGACCGTATTGTTGTATCTCATCTGTTCAGGATCAGGGAGTAGGTTTCTAGCCTCAGTGATCCTCTGAAGAGTGTCCTAAAGAGAGTTGAATTACACTTTTAGAAAATGTTTCTTTCCTACAATTCTTCAGTGCCCTTTAAAATCTGTAGCATCTAACAACCTGTCAACTTCCAATTGTCCCTTGGATTAAAGAAAAGTAGAGTCTGAAGACTAGTGTCTTAAATAAAACCTTGAAACCTTAGCTGTTGAGTGGGATAGGTAGAAACTATTTGAAACCCTCTACCCCAATCATCTCAAAAGATTGGAGGCATAATTATTTCTGAATTAGAACACAGCAAACACAATGTATTATGACTGTGCAGGCATTACCATTAGAAAACCAGACTCAGAACAAATTGTCATATAGCATATGTGCATATCTTATCCAATTTGGGCAATGAGAAAACTATGCCCATATGGCATATGTTTGGTTTGGCAGTCAGTTTGTGGCATGCTGGGTAGATGATTGAAAAGGAGTAGGGAAAAGGCATCTAGGTTAAATGACATAATTTCCCTTCCACTGAGCTTTTCTATGTTAGTATAGAACTTGAGGCAAAAAGTGTTGTTAGTATTATGGTTCTCAACTACATAACCATGCAAAGGAATTCTTAAGCATGGAATCTTGCAAGTTTTTTTTTTTTGCCCAATTCACCATATACTTATTATTGATCACCTACTATATGCTAGATACTGTGCTATGTGCAGCAGAGGACCTAAAAATAGATTGCCATCTATTGGAGGTAAAAAAAAAAAAGTCAATAAGTGACTAACCTTAAAATACTGAGGTAGTGTTTAATGACATATGAGGACACTTCCAAAGGCTTCATGAAGACTGTAGCATTTGAGCTGACCCTTGATATGAACATAAAATATCAAGGTGATAGGAAAATAATGCGGGCTCTAGAAAGGATGATGATAATGATGATGATGATGCCCTAGCCAGTTTTGCTCAGTGGATAGAGCATCGGCCCATGGATTGCAGGGTCCCAGGTTCAATTCCAGTCAAGGGCATGTACCTTGGTTGCAGGTTCCCCAGCCCTGGTCTGGGTGCATGCAGAAGGCAACCAATCTCTCTCATATCAATGTTTTTCTCTGTCTCTCCCTCTCCCACTTCTCTAAAAACCAATGGAAAAATATTCTCAAGTGAGAATTAACAACAAAACCAATAAATAATAATAATAAAAAATGTAAACAAAATATATAAATAAAAATGACAAAACAACAATAAAATGTAATTTCACTATCTGTCAAAATTTTTTTCTGAACACTGCATATCTTTAGCTCATTTCTCTTCATAGCAACCCTATGTTGTAGGCCTAACGATTGGTAAATATTAAAGCTGAAATTCAAGACAATGCAATCTGACCACAGAATCTATATCCTTAAATGCTCCCTTGTTGTGTCATAAATCAGAGAATGAGATACAAGAAGCCTTAATGAGCCAATTAATTAGGAGTCGTTTATTGCATGCGGCCCAGAGGGAGGTGTCTCTTCCAAATCTCTGAGTAACACATACAGGAAGTTTCCTGTATTTATACTTTTTGAGCTTCTTTGTCTGCAGATTTCACAAAGAGCTCTGTGTGGATTATTGTTACGGACAGTTGTAACCTTGAATACACAATGAGTTAGTACTTGGCATAAGAATATGGGAATTATTATCAGTATTAGTCTATATTAGTCTATTACATTGGATGGCTAGCTTGCAAGGTCAGACAGTTAAGTTTTTATCTTTTTCTATTATTCAAACTAAAAACAAAGTCATTTTATAGAATAAGAGTGTTTTAAAGTGACAGAGTTTACAGGACTAGGGATTATCTAACAATAGCAGAGAGTTTCAAACAGCAATTTTTTATACAAGATGGAGGTTACTATGCTTCACCCTCATAGTATTGCAGTAAAGAAGCCATAGTGGCCCAGCCAGCATGTCTCAGTGGTTGAGTATCGATTTATGAACCAGAAGGTCATGGTTCTATTCCCAGTCAGGGCACATGCCTGGGTTGCAGCTTCGATTCCCAGTGTGGGGTGTGCAGGAGGCAGCCAATCATGGTTTTCCTTTTGTCTACTGATTTTTTCCTAATTTCTTTACATGTATTTAGTCAACTAAATTAGGCAAGCTAATTGGAAACAACATTCATAACAAACATATATGCCATAGATGTTGACAATAATCCGGACAAGCCAGCAAATTCTGAGTGGAAGCTTCTAATCTGTCACTTTCCCTTCACTGGTAAGTGATAGAGCCAAGATTTTATTTACTCTTATAGCACATAAGGTATTTAACATTGCTGATAATCTGACACAAGGCAAATTGGAAATTAAATGAAGATGAGGCAGTCATTGTGGGTAAGTTTATATGTTGGCTCTTCTAATTAATGCAAAAACAACCCAATGACTCAATTGGGAAATAATATGAAAATTGTAGTGCATGATGTGCACACTCTATATAATCTTCTTAGAATAATAGCTACCATTTATCAAATTCTCTATATTCCAACCAATGTACTAAGAACTTTATATTAGTATGTATTAAATCACCCGATGTTCACTATTTGAAATAGATGATGTTAGTATTTCTATTTTAAAACAATGACACTGAGACACAGAGTTCTTACATAAGTTGACCAAGGTCAACACAATTAGTAGTGGAGCTGAAATTTGAATCCAAGAAGTGTGCTTCAGATGCTGCACTTTTAACCACTACACTGTACTACCTCTTGTACTCCAAGAATAAAATGAGTTTCTCATTCCAAGTATACCACATTTTCCATGGTAGTAACTCATATTTCTAAGGTACAATTTAATACTCTTAAGCAATAAGCAACTAATTATGTCAGATTCTTCCCACACCTAAGTCTTTCCCTTACAGGAAGTCAGACTTCAGGAGATAAATTAGTGGTTTTAGGCCATTAGAATAACATTTAATTTACTGCTGAAGTAATGGGGTAATGCATTAAATGGTGCCCTTGAATGCAGTGTGAGAAATATGTCTCTAAAATAGTGTATATAGCCCTTAAGCAAAAGTCATCATGATAAGGGCTTCTTTGTCAAATCCGCAGAGTTTTAACTTTGTACAATGTACAAGGCACTTTCTTAAGCCAATTGTAATTGAGGTTAATTATTTTGGTCATGACATGAGAAAACCTACCTGGTTTCTCTTTTCTGTGAAAAGAGAATAGGGAGTGATTATAAATGAGCACAAAGTTTTTTGAAATAAGTTTTTTTTTTAATTAGACTGGTCATGGATGTACAACATTGCAAATATACTAAAATTCATTAAATTGTACACTTAAAATGGGTGAATTTTATAATTTGTATAATGTAAATTAATAAGTTATTTTGATAAATCCACATAATGTTAAAAAGCCTGGGTGAATATAGAAAAGTAAAATTCATATCTCGATGCTATGAGATATGAATTTTACAGAGTTCTCATTTTTGTGTGTGTGTGTGTGAACTATGCTGGTAGGAGAAAAGCCCCTATACCTCCCTGCGACAACTCTACTACATTTTGCTAATTTACTATTATAAAAAAACAAAACAAATAAATAAAAAACTACACCAAAACTCCATCCTGGAGACTACAGCAGCTGCAGCAATAAAGTAACAGCTGCCTGACTCTTTCACATGAGGCTTAACTTAAAACTTTTAGCAGTAAGAATTCTCTGCAACAATTAGTTCTCTCTCTCTCTCTCTCTCTCTCTCTCTCTCTCTCTCTCTCTCTCCTGTCTTAGAATTTCCTCTAGATTCTAATACACCATGTCTGTGCTTTCAAATGGCCTCCTGTTCAGCTGAAGATCATTGAATATTCCAGTCTATTGATCTACAATACAAAAAAATGTTTTATATATTTTTAAAAGCCATTGTTCAACTCTATTTTTAGAAACTTTTCACTCAGGATCAAAGGTCTACCTCTCTTTGTATCACTGAACCTATTAATTTCCCTGGCCAAGAAAATAAATAAAAAACACAACATTAATTTCCTCTTAGATTAAAAAAAATAGTTTCTGACCTCTACATAAGACTGTTAAAAAAAAAATCTGAAAGGAAAATGTTGGCAGATTGACATTGATGTGGGAGAGTAAAGTTGGCCTTGTACGTGGGACCTATCAACAGTGTTGGGACCTGCATCAAATTAAGCTAATTGAGTTCCACAGTTGGGGGGTGGGCATAAATTGTCTTATCATTTCACATTCATTTCCAGCATTCATGTATTGATGTATTGTCAGGCTTCAGTGATAAAGATGATAAAGTTGCTCTACACATGTAAGAAATGTGAAAGTGACTCTTAAAGTTTCAATAAGTACTCCTCAAGGTCTTTTGCATAATCCAGTGTAATTTAATACTGGAATGATTTACCCTTGCATTATTATATATAAAATAATTCTTGGCTTTGAATTCAGAATCCCTAATCTCTCCTTCATCCTTATACATTTGCACCCTTTTATCAAAAGTTCTTATGAAG